CCTGGCCCGGGGGCTCCTGCTGAGCCCCTCGGAGCCCCCTGTCCTCGTGAGCAGCCCTCAGCGTTGCGCGAGCTCGTGCGCCCGTGGCTGGAGCGACCTCGGCCGTCGGCACGGCCAAAGCAGCGAGTTTGTGCGGGGTTGGGAACCAGCTGTTTCGGGGCCCTCCGTTTCGGAATGTTGTAGCGCAAGGAATTACACGTGATTCGCTGCCACCTTTCAGAAAGCGCTGCTGACACGTTAACCCAACACCTGCTGTAGGCAAGGAGGGGAGATGCGTGGCCTAAACGTTAAAGGTAGTTAAAAAGCAGGAGGTGACGTGCACCAAAGGCGAAGGCCTGGAGGAACTGCAGCGTGCAAGATGTTCCTGGCTGCTCTGTAGCAGCTCCAGCCGAGGGGCAGGGAGTCACCATCGGGTACCGGTTCAGTGCTGCGTTCCTGGCCGCGCCGGTGCCGCGCAGGCTGGTTGCAGTTCCCTGTGTTTGTGGCAGCATGGCTGGGCCTGCTGTGCCGCGCGAGGGAGGAGACAGCAGCTCCCTGCTTTGCTCGCGGGGTGAGGTCGCACTGCGCCGCTTGTTCGGGTCGTTCCACAGCTGCCCGGGCGCTCCATCCCTCTCCATAACTGGCAAATGTGCCGTGTTCTCCAGCGCCATGGCCAGCAATATGTCCAAGAAGGAAATTCCTTTCCCCTGTCCTTATCTGTGCCACCGTAGGAGCAAGAGGAGGAAGGTTGCCCTAGATCATGAGAAGATGATGGGGGAATGGCCCCATGCACAAGATACTGATCCTGAGCCCTAAAGAGGGCAGTTTGCACAGCATCCAGTACTACAGGAACTGAGGTTTCTGTGTTGGTGTTAATCCAGCCTGGATATGTTTGTGTAACTGTCCTCAATGAGAGAGAACTTGCTGACAGAGTGATGCAGGGCAAACTTGTTCGAATCCCATGTCCGTGATACCTCTCAGCCTGTCAGGGGTCTTCTGAGTGTTTGATTTGCTGTTGGAGCGGTGGCGATGCTGTGCCTGGGTAAGTGCCATGGCCAGGCTGCTGCCGTGCCCAGGAACACTGCTTCTGTGTTGTGTAGGCCCCCTTTTTTAACCAAATCCTTGTTTTGTTGCCTCAGATCAGCAATACAGCTTTTTTGCTGCAGAGGTGAAAGGCTTTTTCACTCTTCCCTGCATCCCGTGCCTGACACCAGCGGTGAGAGACAGAAGGACGCAGCTTGGCGCTGCGTTTGTGGGACAGGTTATTCCAGGGCAGTGTTAGGAATGATCCATGGAGGGTTTTCCTGCTGTCAGAGCGAGCAGGCTCTGCTGAAACGCTGCCAGTTGGGGTTTAGTCGTTTTGTCAGGGAATCCTGCTCTGCTTATTTAGGCAGTTGCTGACTGTGCTTGTACTTGCATGCTTAATAAACGTTGGCTGTTCCAGGATGCAAGATTTAGGAAGAAAAATATCCGGGGGATAATGTATGTGACACTCTAGCTCGGGGACGAAAAGGTTGAAGAAGGATCTAAAACCTTTCACTGTTTGTAGCAGATTTGCACTGAAGACAGAGCCAGACTCTTGGGTGTGCCCAGCAAAAGGGAAAAGAGGCAGCAACCACAGGTTGCAGGAAGATAATTTTTGATTGGCCATAAGGAAAGTTGTTGAGGGTACTGCAGTACTTGATGGTATCTGTGAAATACATTCTTTTTTAATAAGAAAATATTCAACTATCATGCCTACCTAAAATTCTGTGCATTTTGAAGTGCTTTGTCTAATATTGACTGGTAAAGCTGCATTAAAAGGACAGCTTGTTTTTGGTTTTTTAATCAGGTATTTCAAGTAACTCTCACGCTTTCTCTTTTTTAAGGTCAATGAGTGGTCCTTGAAGATAAGGAAAGAAATGCGAGTGGTTGATAGACAGATTAGAGGTTTGTATTGCTGTCTTCATGTTTTCGTTTTCTTTTTCTTTTTCCTTCCCATGACAGCCTTCAAGTTGTATTTTTTGTTGTTGGTAAAAATGGCGGTGGACAGGAGCAGCAACTGTGAGGATTGGTGTCCTGGGATGCTCTATGGTACCTGGAATAAAGGAAGAGGAATGTGATCCTGGGGCTGCGCTTGGGCTGTGGTACAAAAATGGCATTTCTGTGAAGTTCTCCAAGTGAACCTTTCAAAAGAATGTGGCTGCTGTAAGCTCCTGCTAAGACTTAAGGCTTTTACCTGTCATATCAAATGGGGCTTATTATCCAAAACTTCATCTACACTAAGTTAATGAACAGGACCAGTATGATGTGTAATTCCAGGCATAGCACGTTCCAGGGGTGAATACTGCCTGGAAGTGCCCATGCTAAACAAAAGTAGCTTCCATGTCAGCTTGAGGAAGTGACACACAGGAAAAAAAAATGGAGACACTTTCTTTACTCACTGGGTGTTTTGTCATTAAATTGTGACACTTTTGAAGGTATTTTGAGAAGCAGAGAGGTTGCTTAATACTCAGCTGTAGCTAGTTCACTTTTCTTCCTTTCTCTTCTGCCCATTATCCAAGAACCTGAAGAAGAGTTTAGAGCTAGATTCTCATTTTCCCTTTTTGGCTTCTAACCCTCTCCCTTGCCCTCTGGATATTTGGTCCATGGGATGTGCTGGTGGAGAATATTTTGTGTCAGCGTCTGGTTATTGGGTGGATGCCTCTTTTGGCATCATTGTTCTGGTATTCTCTCCCTTCCGCCATTCCTCCCCCATTCCAGACTTCTGGAATCAGCTGGCAGGGCTCATAATTTCTCCCTCTATCCAAGAACCTGAAGAAGAGTTTAGAGCTAGATTCTCATTTTCCCTTTTTGGCTTCTAACCCTCTCCCTTGCCCTCTGGATATTTGGTCCATGGGATGTGCTGGTGGAGAATATTTTGTGTCAGCGTCTGGTTATTGGGTGGATGCCTCTTTTGGCATCATTTTTCTGGTATGTTCTGTTCTCCCTTCCACCATTCCTCCCCCATTCCAGACTTCTTGAATAAGCTGGCAGGGCTCATAATTTCTCCCTCTTGTAGATTTGTCTGAGTTGCTTGGAGGGAGATGCTCTTGGGTCTCATGAAGTACAAAGTCCATCTTTGTTCTTCTCTGGAAATTGCAGAGGGGGCTCGTGCCTCTTCCTGAAAAACTGCCATACAGTGATGCTGAGTATGTGAATATCCTGGTGAGTTGTTTTGAATTCCCCAGGGCACTTTGAGTGTCTGGATCAGGCACAGACCAACTGATAAATGATCCTCTTAGCAGAGTATGTTTGAGAGATCACAGGCTTCATGGGAGCAAACTATCAATGGGCTCACCATTGATATATATTAATTTTGGTTTCCTCACATAACTCCATAAATACTATGACGCTTCACATAGTCTATATAAATATATATATGTATAAGGTTATAGACTAGTCTATAATTTTGATGTGGATGTAAATCTACTTGTCATGGTTCTCTCTGCATCTCTATATATACATATTTAATGCTACATTCAAAGAAATGTGGTTTAGCAACACTGCAGAGTTCACACTAAGCACCAACCCTCTGTAACTGTGAGAGTGCCCCTATACCCAAATGCACACAATCTATACAATGTATGGATGTATACACTGTGCTAGAGTTCAACATGCTGCTGAAGTGCCTGGCTGAGGTGTGTGGCGCTTACCAGGCCCGCAGGCTGCTGCCAAAAGGTGCCAGGAACAGGGCTCCAAGGGGGTTTTCCTTGTCTCGAGCAGATTCTGCTGAGCTCTGCCCTCTCAGCTGACATTTTACACAAGAAATCATGTAACAAATTACAGTGGGTTTGGCTGAGTGGGTTTGTGTTGCTCGAGCAGCCGCCTCGTTCCCAGGCAGCAGCGCTCGCCTTGGGCCTTCTGCCCTTGGCTCGTGCTTGTAGCGATGGATTTGGTTCCTACCGTTTGCTTTTGGGATATTCGAGGAATGGAAAGGTGCCTCTCGTGATTTCAGAAATAGATTTTGAGAGCTGAGTAACCTAATAACTTTGTACTTGACTGATCTTTTCCATGCTGAAATTTGCTTGGGATGCGTCTTGGCTATGTGGAGTCTGCAATGTAGGGAATTATTTTAAATATATTTTTAGCATTATGGGTTCCTACTAGCTCAGTCTGTTCTGTAATACCCGCTGCCCTCCAGGCTGCACTGACCACCTCGCCATGCTGACACGCTCTTGCCCTTACTCCATCCTTACAGCAATCGTGTGACTGGATTCTTCCTGCAAAACAGTTGAAACTTGGGAGGAATGTGAGCCTTCCAAGGGGTAAATGCTTTGCCTGCAGCCTTGGGGTTAATTATGTGCTTTCTGTTTTCTCTTTTACCACTGCAGCTGTTTCTTAACCTGTTCTGATGTGCCAGGCTTTGGTCAGCTTTCCTGTGTGGCACACGAATGTCTTCAAGCTCATGACCTTTCTGCAGATACTCGGGAGGGAAGGACAAGGAGGGGGTTCCTCTGAGGCAGTTGCAGCCCTGCAGATACCTGTGATCCTTGTCCTGCTCCTGCTCAGGTTGGCAGAGAGGGCTGTCACTGTAAGACGTCTGCAGTGACTCATCCTGAGCATGGGACGCATCGCTCCCACCCGAGAATCTGCTGCAGTCTCCAAACCGGGCCTGTGCCAAAAAGTGTCTTCTAATGCCTTTAATTTTGCAAAAGGCTGACTTCTGATTTTTTGCCTATGTGTAACTTCTCCCTGATGTGTGTCAAAAAAATATGAGCAAAACCACTGCTGGAGTCACTTGTTCTTGTGGTTGCTTCCTTCAACTTTTTGCAGTAAAGCATCTGTAAACATTATTATTTGAATCTTATTTACATTGCACTAGTTTCTTGCAGACCAACTTTGAACCACGTTTCATCAGCAGCAAATTCACTGCCGAGTCAGGAGAACGAAGGGGCTGATTTAGCCCCTGCTCGTTTTCAGGTCTCTTCCTCAGCCTTTTACTGTCCCTGCTGCTCGTGGGACAGGACAGAAGTGCAAAGACCCCCCCAGGTTGGCTGGAGAAACGTAGGATATTTAAGGAAGCCAGTGCGGTGTGTGGTATTTCAAGTTCTGTTACTCAGTGTTCAGACAGAACAGATGTAGTTCTGTGTTCTACTCCAGCATGTTCATACCAAAACCGTGCCGGGTGCTGCAGGCTTGGAAGAGTTGGAAGAGTCTCTTTTCAGCTCCGTTTGAAGATGTATCACCGTGCTAGTTCTCCCTGCTGCATTTCCATGGCTCTGGCAGCAGGCAGCTGTATAGCTGCAGTGTGCAGCCACGCGCACAGCTCATGCACGTGTGTGAAATTATGAGCAGCAGAAACTCAAGGATCAGCCTCTTGGGAGCAAGTACAAATTGGGCTTAATGAGCGCCTGATGGAGGGGGTGATTATCCTCTTTGCAAGGATGATCCTTTTTTTTTTGAGGGTAATGAACAAATCTCTGGTCTGAAATAACTTTAGAAGTTTGGGACATTCCTTTATAAATTGCCTATTTGAAGGCACTTTGCCTCCCCTTTAAAAATACATAAATCAAATAGAAAAGGCAGAGTATTTCTAAAACCTTCCAGCTTTTGTGAGATCAGTGTGATACGTGAGTGCCTTCTACAGGTTCTGTGTCCGTGCTCCCAGGAGAAATGTGTTTTAAGGCTTTGGAAAGGGGGAGGGCAGCTCTGCCCATGACAGCCCTCACATCCACATCACGTTGGGCAGGTGGGTTATGCTTTGAACGTGAAGCCTGACAGTGAAGTGTTTGGCAGTAAAATGACATAGGGCTAGTGAAAAAAAAAAAGTTTTCTTTCTCCTGAGACTGCTAGTTTTACATCTTTGAGAGCTGGCTGTTTGGTAATGAGGATTTTGCTACTAATCTTTAGCTGAATTATTCAGTTCACCTGTAAATCAGTCTAGAAGATCTTCCAGTGCCAGATTGAATCTGAAATTAAGCAGCAACAATTATATTTGCATTAAAAATACATCCCAGCAAAGAGCTGGTTTCACTTCCAAATCTATCAGCTTGTGACTGGCTGCGTCTGCTTTTTTTCTGTGCTGCAGATATTCAGAGAGAAGAGGAGAAAGTGAAGCGCTCGATAAAGGATGCTGCCAAGAAGGGGCAGAAGGACGTGTGTGTCATCCTGGCCAAGGAGCTGATCCGCTCGCGGAGGGCTGTCAGCAAACTCTACGCGTCCAAAGCGCACATGAACTCCGTGCTCATGGGCATGAAGAACCAGCTTGGTAAGAGCATCTGCTGAGCCGAAGCGCAGCAGCTCTTCTAACTGTACAGGGGAGGCCTGGGTGTCCATTTCTGGAATCGAGGGGAAAAGGAGCTTTTGCACAAACATCATAGGTCTTTCTTGGTCCAAAAATGCCCCTTTTGCTGCATCCTGTGAGTCCCATGCCACCTTGGCCATCTTTCAGCCTGCAAAAGTTTCCCTGCTCACCCCTCGAAGTCGGTTTCCCATCCAGCCCTTGGTGGCAATCAGATGCTCCACGTTTTTGCATTAACTTCCCAGGGTTCCTACCCCCTTGTTGTTCCTCCTCGGCCTCTGAGGGTGTCAGAGCCCTGGAACAGGCTGCCCACAGAGGTTGTGGAGTCTCCTTCTCTGGAGGTCTTCAAGGGCTGCTTGGACGCAGTCCTGTGCCACGTGCTCTAGGGACCCTGTGTGTACAGGGGGTTGGACTAGATGATCTCTAGAGGTCCCGTCCAACCTCAAGGATTCTGTGACTCTCCGTGCCCGAGGGCTGTCGCAAGGTGGAAATCTCCCACTCCGTGGCACAGGTCACTCCAAAGCAGCCTGGGCCCTGTGTCCCTGTAAGTGGGAACACGGAGGCTCTGAGAGCGCATGTTCTTCCTCGGTCAGCTAAGCTCTACAACACGAGGCTTATTCCCTTCAGGAGAATTCCTTTCATCTAGTAAATTGTGCGTGTTGCTCTAATAGGAGTCTTAGGACACGCAGTCCTAGTGGGGATGTGTGTGGGGTAAGGGGACAGCTGATTTCCTTGCTGTGGATGAACCACAGAATTTGCCCTGCAGCTCAACACGTGGTTTTCTGCCTCCCCCCATACCAGCCTGTTCTCCCTTATCCCCACAAAAATCGCCGGTCATCACAGACCTTCTGCAAGGCTTCTTTCGCACCTTGATATGTTAGAGCCTTTAACAATAACAGAGGCTGCAGAAAAAAGGAGGAAACACTTTGCCCACCTGCTTGGGGGAAGAAACCAGCAGTGTGGGCAGGCTCTCCCACTGAGCCACTAAGGGCTGATGTCCCTTAGCCCATGAGATCTGGCTTGCAGCTAAAGCAAGATGTTCCTTTTCTAAACAATATTACCTAAACATATATATATATATATATTTTTTTCCTCCATGTAGGGAGGATGTAGTTTTGCTGCTTTATGTGACGCAGCGGTTGTTCAAGCTCTTTTGTGCTGCTTCCTCACAGCTGTGCTCAGGGTAGCAGGCTCGCTGCAGAAGAGCACCGAAGTTATGAAAGCTATGCAAAATCTGGTGAAAATTCCCGAAATTCAAGCGACAATGAGAGAATTGTCCAAAGAGATGATGAAGGTAAGAGCTGCAGCATAAATAAGATGTAGGTAACAAGAGAGTCCTGTGCTGTGTGCTGGAGTGCTGTGCGCTGCTGAGGTGGTGAGTGTTTCAGCAGCCTCATGTTTGGTGTAACTTTTGGCTTAATAAATAATACATTGAAAAGGAAATAGGAAAAAATGCACTGATTTAAAATATTCCACTTCTGTATTGTAGCTATTATTTACTTTTCAACTACCACAAATGCTTCTTTTCCCCTCCTTCTTCTGTATTCTATTATTTAAAAGGTCTAATTTCTTAACTGTCTTACAAACCTTTTTAGGATGTTTTTAAATGTGGCTAGAAATAAGGGAAGCTTATGGCAAACATGAATATTACATTTCATTGCCAAACTCAGCAAGTTACAACTGCCTCTGTGAGTGCAAACTTTTGAGTGACCTCTGTTCCAAGGGTTTAGACATTCACCAATAATGCAGAATAGCCTTGGGGCCTGGCGGGGAGAACACGAGGGCTTAGACCTGAATTTTCTACCTGATCTTGAAAGCAGGAGGGTAAAAGTCCAGCTCAGGGGCTGTGAGTGGTGCCTGTGACCCTGCCCTGGGCCTCAGTGCTTCCCGGGGGCATCACGTGCTGCCTTTTTGTTTGCTCCCAGGCCGGAATCATAGAGGAAATGTTGGAGGATACGTTTGAAAGTATGGAAGATCAGGAGGAAATGGAAGAGGAGGCAGAGATGGAAATCGACAAAATCCTCTTTGAAATAACAGCTGGTGAGTTCACACCTCTCTGCAGAGAGCGGGGTCTGTTTTAAAGAGGGCTTGTGAAGTCAAACAGTTCTTGTGTCTCTCCCAACCAAAAATGAGGGCTGTTTGAAATAGCTGTGCCCAAGAGCTGGCACTCGTTAGGTGTTAGCGAACACTAAGGGGTCTCTATCGCTTACAGGGGCCTTGGGTAAAGCGCCCAGTAAAGTCACGGACGCCCTTCCGGAGGCGGAACCCATGGGAGCTGCTGCTGCCGCTGCTGTTGATGAAGAGGAGGATATTGAAGCAATGCAGTCCCGCCTAGCAACGCTCCGGAGCTAGGGCTGAAATGAACCTGTACAGTTTGCCTTTTTTTCTCTTTTTTTTTTTTTTTTGCAAGGGGATTTTCTGTCTTTAAAATGCAAAAATAAGTGAGGATTCTTTCTGTAATATATGTATTTTTTTTTCTTCCTGGGGATTATAGTCCCCCAAACCATTGTAATATATTTTTTCTTGGGAAGTGCATTCTATAGAGATTATTTTATCATTTTCTGTTTAGCCTCTATCACCTGTGAGAAGTTATGGTGAAAGAGCAGGAGTGGTGTAATGTTAAAGGGTTTCAGATACAGAGTCTTTAAATGGAGTCCTGGCTTCAAGCAGCTTCCTTCCTTTAAAGGACACTTTGGCTTAATCTATTACCAAAAATCTTTAATGGGATGAGATGTTGCGTTTTTCTGAGTCACTACAAGTTTTATTAAAGCTACTTTTAACAGTTTCTCCTGGTTTTCTGCTTTGTGTTCGCTTCCTTTCCTGTTATTCCCATGACACTGCTGCTCCCAGGGAGCTTCCCCAGCTGCTGGGGAATCCAGGGCTGGGGGCAGCCTGTGAATAAGAGCAGCTTCCAAAGGGGCTGGAAGGGAAGGGGCAGGAGAGGGCTGGCAGCTGCTGCGCAAGCTCAGTGCTCACACAGAAACCCGAGGAAGGCAGCACCAACACAACAGGCACAAAAATCACCTTCTCCCCACCCAGGCTCTGCCCCAAAGAGGACCTCTTAAGAGAAGGGCTGCCCTCACTCCACTGCAGGAAAGCAGAGCCTGGGGCAAGGGAGGAGAGTACAGCTTAAGGAGAGTTAGCTTAAACTGAAGAGGGGAAAAGCAATGCAGAAGCAGCTGCCCCAGCCAAGAGAGGGCCTCAGCTTGGTGAGAGCTACACAAGCACACCCATGATGAGCATGAGGGGGTAGTTTCTCTAGCCCCTGAAGGAGCCAGGCCTCATCTTCGGACCTTGGCTGGCCACATGAAGTGAGGTCTAGTGCTCCTGCAGCCTGAGGTGACCCCTGCTGAAGCTTAAAGATTTCCTAAGTTAGGCCTCAAACTCTCCATTATTTGAGATTCTTCCCTGCTTCTCCTGGAAGAGGCAGCTGCAGCCCCTCATAGCTGCTGCCAAAGCACTGGCCTTTCTAGAGCCACAAGGGGTGATCTGTTCTTTGGGTTGCTGAAGCACTGAACTGGTGAAAGGGGAGCTCACTTAAGAGGCCTGTTTATCCCACAGATCACTTGTGATAAAAACAAGTCATCTTCTCTTTAAAGAGCACTGTACTAGGGTTAAAAAAAAAACAAAACACAAGGGGTCTGTCTCCTCCCAAGGCAGAGCTTGATGCAGGAGGCAGTTGGCAAGTGCACATAGTTATCCCCTTTATCTCACCTGAACACATCAAAAACCGCTTTTATGGAGCATGTGCCAAATAAAACTAACCTCTACGTACCTGCTGTGCAAGAGTGAGGGTGCAAGCCCAGACAAGCCTTTTTTCTGGCCTGCTGAATGTGCCTCCTACACAGGAGGAGGTAAAGCCAGAGCCAGGGGCTACCTCAGTGTGCAGAGTCACTTACACACTGAAGAGGCTTAGGGGAGATACAAGCACATACTGGGCACTTTGTTTTCATTTTGCTGCTTTAGTTTAGCTTTTCTCTCAATTTTGACATGTGGGAACAAATTACTTATTCACAGTAGACTTTTTTTTTTTTTTTTATGAGCCCATTTTATTCTAACTTAAAAGACTTATTCCCTGCAAGTCAAAACAGGCTCAGCTTCATTTCAGCTGCTGCAGGAGGAAGTTTCTCTGAAATAAAGATTGTTACCCGAAACAGAACAATTAATGTTGATCAGTAGTAGCATGGGTAATAGCAGAGGAGGAAGTTATGGGCTTTTGGCAAACCAAGAGTATATTATTTCAGTTGCTGAAAAGGGCTTTGGAAAGCAGACAGGCTATGTGTACCTTACCTAACCGCTTTGGCTGGTTTAGAGTTTATGATGCTTCCAATCTTGCCCTAAACACTTTTAGAGAGGTCTTTTTAAAGACTGGTCACACATTTCATTTGATACAGCAGTGGCAGTAGTGGTTGAAATGTAGCAATCCAGCTAAGCCACACTTTGGTTAACAAAATTCCTAGGCACAGAATTATCACTAAATTCAATACCTTAAGCCTTCAGGTTTTGCTTGAAAGCAGACAACTGTACAATAAACAATCTGCTCCAGCATTTCAAAACACATATTAATCAGTTTGAGCAGTCAATGGAAGAAGCTGGGCAAGGAGCAGTATCTGAAATAGAAGAATTTTATGTAGACCATTCAGTGTTAAAAACCAGAGAATCAAACATCAGTTCAATTTATAGATCAGTTTTAAACAGAAGACATTTTGATTAAAAGATTTTTTTAAACACTTAGAAATTTAAATACATTTACCTAAAGATGGTTAACCCCCATCTCTATGTTACTATACAATAGCTTAAAGCTACTTTTAAATGCTAGTTCTATGTTAATGTGAAGTTTCAGAACTGCATTCTCAGTTTATTTTTATGTAAATTGGTTGTTAAATTGGGTGACTTGATACTTCCACCCCAAAATAAAAATTAAAAAAAAAATGGAGCTTTACAACATGAATAATATTTTTCAAATGAGTAATTTGGAATAGTTCCCGACAGTCCTAGAGGAGGTATTTTGTACAGTTTGGAGAGTAACTCCATATAAAGTTCTATTGCAACTGAGCATTCACAGTATGCCACAGTCCATACATATTACTACATATACATATCAGGTTTGTAAACATTGGAAGAATACACAGAACATAGTACCACAATCCTCTGGTACTGCTGAAAGGAAGATGAGGTAACATTCATATAATCTCAAAGTCCACAGAGGTCCTGACTGAAGAGTTAAAACAGCTGCCAACGCTTCTGTTTCATAGTGTGTGGTTAAGGCTTTCTACTTTATGGTCTGCTAAGGCTGGATTCATTAGCTCTCAGTATCCCAACTGCATCTTTTACAGCGTGGTATATGACATTCTTCACCTAGGAGGAAAAGAAATGGCATTTAGTACTAGGACTGAACAGCAGGGTTAAGGTCAGACAGACTGACATGGAAACGCTCTGCACAACCCTCCCTGCCCGCCTTCTGCACAGCCCATTTCGCTCTCAGTCTAAAGGCACTCGCTTCAACAAGCTTCACTTAAAATCATGCACTAGGAAAACTGGGTTTAAATTCCAACAGGATAAAAGCTGTAACACATAGTGGGTTCAGCTTGAAGACACAGAAGTGGAAAGAGGAAACCTCAAAGGAAAGTCAGAAGGAGTTTTCAAATTCCTCCTTAGAATTTAGCTACTAAAAACCCACAATTGCTCAAAAGTCTGGAGAAATTCCTTCTCAAAGTCCAATGCACTAAAGCTGATTAGAACATGAAAGCAGTTTTAGTCCTTAGGTTGTACAAGCAGCTAAGTTTCTACTTTATGGACTTGGTGAGAGTTTTTTTGTAGTATTTATTTCTTCCAGGAGGGGAGGTCTAAGCCCACCATAAGCACTGGGACATTACCTGCAGTTTATCTTCATGGTTCGTATGCGTATGCGACAGATACCTAAATTCCTGAGTGAGCCAGAAGCAATGTTTGACATGCTCTGGGGATACAAAGTCTTCTGCAACTTTAATACAACTGTACAAATTGTGAACCTAAAGAGAACACACAGAAATCAGCCATGTGCACAGAAGTCTAACTAGGTAGTCGGTCTGGCACAGGGTCACTGCTTCTTACCTGGTGTGGAGCTCCCGCTGGAATGAAAACTACATCTCCTAGAAACTGTACAATAGCCCAGCCCTGAACCCCATACTCCTGGTGAAGCCGTTTCCTTAGAGATCGGTCCAAGTACCAGCTTTGATCATGAATAGGATCATGATCTACAGGATTTTCTTGACCTTGTTCTTCAGCAACCTGAAATACATCACAGGACAGGTAATATCCAGTAAGACTGGATGCATCTGTGGCATTACATATGCACCCATGCCAGTGACTCGCATCACACAATTTAAGCTACAATAAAAACCTTTGGATTCTTTCTTAATTCTTGAGTAGTTTGTCCAGGCTACATCATTTTCTATTTCCACTGTCTGATTAGCAGCCTTGGCTGTTAATCTTTGCCTTGAAGAAGCATTGCAAAGGGGGTGTAATAAAAGCTCGTAATTACAGTTTAGGCAAGAAAGTAGAAGCAGAAGTGGCTTGGGTATGTTCACACTGGGAATCACGATCACACCAGGGGTCAATACTCCTGCAGTACTACAGCTAACGAGGAAAAAATAAACAAACCCCCCACTGAATTCTGGACTATTATGGTCCAGAATGTAAAGGCTTTTTAGATGATCATCTCTTTACTCCATTAAACATTTTTCCTCCCAAGAAAAAAGGCAAAATACCAATTTTCCCCCTCTCAATCCAAACTCAGTGAGGGTAGAAAAAAAAATAGGGGAAAAGAGGAAAGAACAAGAAAATTTGTATGCCACATATAAGAACATCCTTACGTGCATAAAAAAGTCTAGGTTAAAATGAGTTTTTATTTAACTAACAGAAATATAGTGCTATCAATGTGGTTTCTTGTATTATTGAAAAAAATGGCAAAAGCAACATATATAAACACAGGATAAATTCAAGCTTCAACTTGCTTGAACTCTTGAGATCCTACAGATTGACAGCACTACAAAGTTTCTCTTGGATACAACCCAAGTACATTTGTTCCAGGTTTCTCTACCAACTGAGAAAGGAGGAAAGAAGTCAGAGGATACATGTTTGCAGACATCAGCACCCAGACATCAGATGAGTTTTTCAGATATAACCACCTACCTTTTTAAGGAATTCCCGGATCTTCTCTGTATCTTTAGCAGCATAAATGTGCCACAGAGCTCCAGGTTTTTCTCGACTTTCGGTAAAACGCTTAATTGTCAGTTCATCCGAATCCCCGTCTTGTATGGTTTTAAGCACTTCTGTTGGAGAGTCCACACAAGCAGTTACACCAAAGGACCAGAAATGGTGCTTATTAACACAATAAACATGATGAAGACTTTACCTTCTTCTT